GCCTCACATGTGTCCCTGACATCACCTGCTGGTGGGAGTGGGAAGGGACATCTTTTGGGGGGAAAACTCAGGACCCCCTTATGCAAATTGGGGTGGGGGAGGAGTTGGGGGGGAGGGCCACTGGGACCTGGCCCTGGGCACTGTGCACGTGGGGCTTGGCATGTGGCAGGCGGGGACCCCCCAAACTCAGGGTAATGAGGGGCTTGCGGGGACCCTTGGACAGGCTGCTTCTGGAATCTTCTTTGGGACCCTTAGGCTGGCTGTGGGGCTCTGGCTGTGACGACAGGCGGGTGGGTGGGGACTGGGACTTGGGGACAGCTGGGTTAGTGTTTTTAAGAGTTGTGCATTTGTACAGTTGCATTTTTTCTTTTTATCATTTTTATCCATTTCGTTCTATTTTTGTTTTTCCATAACTTTTAGCTTTTGCTTTTCTTTTATTTTTTTGACACCCCCCCCCCGCCCCGCCTTGGCAAACACAAACTCAGCTTTTCACTCTGGACATGTGAAATCAATTTCAGTTTCCGTGGGGCTTCTCACATGGTGTGATGGTCACGCCAGAACTCAGGTAAAAGAAAAAAAACTTATAAAAACCTAAAAAATAGGGAAAAAGGTAAAAACTGCTGTCTACCTCTGGCTGGGCCCCGCCGTCACACCCTGGCCATGGCAGGGTGATTTACAACAATGTTCAGTTTTTTGCAGATCATTCAGGTATTAAAAAAAAAAAAAAAAAAAAATTAAAAAAAGATAAAAAGACCAAAAAAATTTAAAAAAAGGTGTGATTTTGAAATTTAAAAGAACACTGAAAGTTTACATTTTATAATGTTATTATGCAAATTGTATTTAAACTTCAGAAATATTTAAGACAACTGTAACCCAGAAAAGCTCATAAGATTAAAACAAAACACTTCTGACTTTAACAGAAAATGTCTCCTGTGTTTTGTCTTGTTTTTTTTTTTTTTTTAATGTATGTACGTGTGTGTTTTCAGGTGAGTTTTGAGACAAGGTCTCATTGTGTAGTTAGGCTGGCCTTGAGCTCTTAGTGATCCTCCTGCCTCAGCCTTCTGGGTGCAGGGATGACAGGCGTGTGCCTCCACAGCTGATCTCCTGTGCCGATTATTAACCTTGGTGCATCTCTTCCTCGCCCAGCATGTCAGGAGGAGGGTGGACCAGGCACTCCCAGGGACACTGGCCCGTGTCTGGGGACATGCGTGGCTGGCACAACTAGGGGGGCTCCTGGCATAGGAGGGGGGAAGCCAAGGATGCTGCTGAGGACCCTGCAGCACCCAGGACAACCCAGGGAGAACACCCAGCCCTGGTATCCCTAGTAACAACCCAGATAGGCAGCGCCGGGCTCCTAAAAAGTGTCCTGTCACCTCCAGGGTGTCTGAGTAGAGCCCCCCAGCACAGTGGGGTGGCCATGGCCCCGGGCCTTTGCACACCTGAGTGGCCTCTCACCCTCTTCCAATTAAAAAAAAAAAAAAAAAAAGACGCCCTGTGTGTGACCCACACGTGAGGTCCCCACGTGCTGCTCACAGCCCAACGTTGTGTCCTCTGGGCAGAGGCCTGACTCCCACCTCTGCCCCTGCCTCAGGACACGGCCAGAGGGAGCCAGGCTCCCCAGAGGCGCTCCTTCCACGGCTGCCTGGCACCTGCCTCACATGGGGACCGGGGACTGGCCTCACGCACAGTGGTGGCTTTTTCCACCGTCACACTGTACCTTTCTGCAGGAGGTGGCCCCAGAGAAGCAGGTGGGCCGGGGGGCGGGGGGGCGGCTCTGCTCCCCAGCTGCAAATGCAAAAAGCCACAGCTTGGCCAGGCAGAGAGACTGCTGTGGGGCCGCCTGTGATTTCTGCGTTCAGGGGACCTGTCTGGACCAAGGTTACCGTGGCCCAGTGGGCGGCCCAGACTGCAGTCACCTGGTCCCTAGCACCTCCGGCTGTGGCCGGCCTGGGCGAGTCCCTCCTGGAGGCTGCACAGGAAGGAGAGGAAAACAGCCCCTGCCACTGTGGCTCACCTGTGACCCAGGAGGAGAGGAGAAGGTGACATTTTCCACTCCTGGCCCTCTGAGGTCCAGCTGCGGCCTCTGGACCCCCAGGGGACAAGGGCCAGTGACTTAAAAAAAAAAAAGCCGGATGTGGTAGCAAACACCTCTCCTCCCAGCACTCTGGGCAGCTGAGGCAGGAGGGTGTCAAAGTTACAGCCCAGCCAGGGGAGCTTAGGAACTTAGTGAGACCCGGCCTCAAAATCAAAAATAAAGAGCTGGGGATGCAGCTCAGTGTGAAGGCCTGGGTTAGAGCCCCAGGACTGCAAACAAAACAAAGCCGGGCATTTGGCACACACCTGTAATCCCAGCACTCGGGAGGCTGAGGCAGGAGGATTGTTGGAGTTTGAGCCCAGCCCTGGCTACAAGGTGAGCTCAAGGCCAGCCTGAGCTGCAGAGTGAGACCCTGTCTCAAAAAGACAAACAAAACAAAAACAACCTGATGGCCCAGTCCTCTTCATTCCTCAGCTGCCAAAGAGCCTCAGAGAGGGAGTTCAGGGACCCTGAGGCCACACAGGCCCTTGGGACACAAAGAGGGGACCAGAGCTCCTCCTTCCTGGCTGCCCAAAGCCCAGCTGTTCTCAGCAGTTGCGCCAGGGGGAAGCTCAAGCCTGGTGCTCCGAGCGGAGCTCGGGACTGTCTGCTGGGATCACCTGCCGGCCTCACGGGAACCCAGGGAATGGCTGGGTCCCTGAGTGGTTCTGGCACAAGCAGGGAACAGGAAAGTCTCTTCCCTCAGTTTCCTTGCTGTGTCCCCTATTCCCGTGCCACCCCCCCCCAGCCTCAGGTCAGGGAACAGCTGCTGCCTACCCCCCACCACAGTACCACTGAGTCCCAGCACTGGGTGGTCCGGGACGCCCCCAAGGGCGGCTTTTGTCTGAGGCTCTTGCACAACTGGTCTGTCCCCATTCCAGGAGAGGGGCGGGGTGACCTCTGACCTCACGAGGAGGTCAGTCCCCAGGGAGAGGGTAGGAAGAACACATGTCCACCACTGGTGTCTCAGCTTGAGTATCCAGTTCACAGCCACCACCCCCCAGCTGCAGGGTCCCAGGGGCACAGCTGGTCACTTCCCTGTACCCCTGGGACCCTGAAATGCAGAAAGGTTCAGACTGGACAAAACCACACTGCCTCATGGAGCCACTGCACACCCCATTGTGTGATTTGGGAAACTGAAGACTGCAGCTGCAAGATGCCCTGTCCAAGGCACCAAGGTGGCAAACAACCTTGCGTGGTGGCGCATGCCTATCATCATAGTACTCCAGAGGCTGAGGCAGGAGGATCTCCACGAGGTTTGAGGCCAGCCTGCACTACATAACAAGACACTATCTTCATTTTGTTTTGAGATAGGTCCACACAAGGTAGCTCAGGCTGGCCTCAAACTCAGCGGCAATCCTCCTGCCTCTGCCTCGTGAGTGCTGGGATAATAGGATAATAGTGCTAGGATAATAGGTGTGCCACCACACCCAGCACAAGACATTATTAAAAAATATATATATCAGTTCTAGTGTCTGAAAAATGTAAGCATTAGATTGGGGGTATACTGGGGCTGAGCACTTGCCTAGGCCTTGGGTTCCATTCTCAGCCCCAACAAAAATAAAAAATTACAATATCGAGGGACCTGGGGTTCTGAACAGGTCCTGGGCGGACTCTCTCCCTCCTAGGGCAGGTGAAGCCCGGCGAGGTCCCTGCTGTGGACCTGCCTCTGGGCCTTTGCCCAAGGCTCTGCCTCGCTCCCAGAGGGTCTCTCCCTCCCCTCCCCTCCCCGTGCTCCTGCCCCCCCCCCCGCGTTCGGTCCGCGGCTCGCTCCTGCCACCTAGCGGCCACCGCTCGCTGCTTGCCAGTGCGGCTCGCGCTCCCGGACACCCTGGCCCCTCTCTCATCTCGGCGGGTGTCCTAGCACCCCAACCTGTCCCGCTTGCATCTCTGTCCGGTCTCCAGCGGGCTTGGGCTTGGGGCGGGGCCCGAGGACTGTACCCCGCATCCAGCCCTGAGCGCGTGGCGCAGCACGGTGGAGAGAGATCCGACTTCCATTTGAATTCCTTTCCAAATCCAGACCACGAACTTCATTTGGGGTTTGACTTGGTTTCGTTTCCCGTGCTGGAACCTGGGCAGTCAACTGCTCTACTACTGAGCTGCATCCCCAGCCTTCATTGTGTGTGTGTGTGTGTGTGTGTGTGTGTGTGTAGGGGTGTTTGTTTTTGAGACAGGGTCTCACTATGTAGCCCAGACTGGCCCCAAACTCGCAGCAATCCTCCTGCCTCAGCTGCCAGAGTGCTGAGATTACAGGCGTGCACCACCACACCCGGCCCTATTTAAAATTTTGAGAGGGTCTCCCTAAATTGTCCAGGCTGGGCTCCAGTTTGCAACCTTCCTGCCCCAGCCTCCCAAGTAGCTGGGGTAACAGGTGGGCGCCCTCGTGCCGGGTGTATATTTACACTTTTTTAAAACACTGTTTTGGGGGGGGGTGGCACAGTAAGAGTGCTTACCCAGCATATGCGAGTCCCTGGGTTTCATCCCTACCACCACAAAGAAAGAGAAAACGTACTGTTTTTAGATATGGCTCCCGTTCCTGGCAGCTGGAATAGGCTGGGCAGACACCGAGTGGCCCAAATAGATGTTTGAATTTTGTGGCCCCCAAAAAGGCGAGATCAAAGGACAGGCAGGGACCCATCAAAATCAATCACAGCGCACAGTGGCCAAGTAGATACTGCTTTTTTTTTTTTTTTAGACAGAGTGTCGCTATGCAGTTCAGGCTAACCTTGAGCTCACTTTGTAGCCCAGGCTGGTCTCGAACTTGTAACGATCCTCCTGCCTCAGCCTCCCGAGTGCTGGGATTACACAGGTGCGCCACCACGCCCGGCACACTGGGGTTTTGTATTGTTTTCTTTTACGATGCAGGACAAGCACTTACCACTGAGCGGCATCTCCAACCCTAAATAATTTCCGGCGTGGGGTCCGCTCTATTGCATTGTCTCCTTTGAGCCTCCGTATTTTATGAGGTCCGTATTTTATATGTACACATTTTAAAAAGAAAGAAGAATCCACCAGAGAGGTTTAGTCACTTGGCCAAAAGCGCGCAGAAGGGAGTGGCCAACTCAGACTTCAGGGCTCTGGCGCTACTAAGAGCTCGCAGGAAACCCTAGACCGCGAAACAGATGTCCAAAATCTCTACCCGTAAGACACGACCCTCCATTCTCCGCCAGGTAGAAAAACCCATTTCCTGGAGCACCGCCCTCTTTCGAGGCCTCTGCGCAAGCGCGGGTCCGCCAACCCCGCCCCCCCAGGAGGCGCAGGTGCCGCTCTAGTGCGCGTAAGGCGGTCATCCGCATCTCGCTGGCGATGACGTATTTCCGGGGTGGTGGTGGTGGGGTGTAAAATGGCGGCGCCCATGGAGGTGGCAGTGTGTACGGATTCGACGGCACAACTCTGGACCTGCGTAGTGTGGGAACTGCATTCGGGCGCTAACTTGCTCACCTACCGCGGGGGCCAGGCTGGGCCCCGCGGCCTGGCGCTGCTGAATGGCGAGTACCTGCTGGCGGCGCAGCTGGGCAAGAACTACATCAGTGTCTGGGAGCTGCAGCGGAAGGTGCGGCAGGCGGGCCTGGGGCTCCGGTGGGGGAGCACGGAGTGCGCGAAAGAAGCGAGGGGAGGGGGCGGGGGTCGCAGTAGGAAGTCTCCCCATGTGCGGGGCGGTGGGCGCTTTGGGGCTTCTGCGCGTCTAGGGCAATTGATCCCCTTGGAGATGGGTGGACGCTTAGGCAAGTGCGCATGCGCAGACTCCTGAGCGCAAAATTTGATTTAAGGGGAGAAATGGGGTCCTTTGGAGTTTGTGGTTTTGGAAGACGAGGGAGCCCCTCGAATGGGTCGCCCCAGGGCTTCATGCATTCATTCTCCTAAAAAGAGACGCAGCCCTCCATCACTGACAGCCCCATTATGTAGCTCCTAGAACTGCTCAGTGCCTGGTCTGCCTGCTGCTGTCTCCCCGGCCAAGAACTGTGCTTAGGTGCCTGGTGGAGTTCGTGCAAAACGTGTTCGTGAGGAGGGGACGCGGCCTGGGAGCACGTTAGGGGAAGGGGTGTTAGGGCACAGCTCCGCTGATCGTTGGGCTCTCTGCCCCGTGTCCTCCCGGGCCCGTCTTGCCTGCCCGCCCTGTCCAGAGGAAGCTGGCCTGCAGAACCTCATCAGAACCTCACGTGAGCCTGGTCGGCGATACACTCCTGTGATCGCACCCATCTGGTAGTGGGGCAGGAGGATCCTAAGTTCAACTCAGTCTGGGCAACGTCCATGTCTTGAAAACTGTAAAGCAGGTGAGGGACTGAGGATGTAGCTCGGTGCAGAGGCCACAGGTTGTTCGAGCTCTAGAACTGGAAACAAAATAAAACAAGAAAGCTGGCGCAGGTGTGAGCCCTCCTTGCTGTGTGGTGCAGTTCCTCTGGCCGGCTGTGCCTGGCTCCTCTCCTCTTGGCCGCCCGGCGCCTCCATTCCCCGCTGCCTCGCAGTCAAAGCTCACAGGCCTTTTCTGTGTCCCTAGGACCAGCTCCAGCAAAAGATCATGTGCCCTGGGCCTGTCACCTGTGTCACGACGGCACCCAACGGCCTCTACGTGCTGGCGGGAATCGCGGAAAACATATACCTGTGGGAGGTAAGAGGAGTGGAGCCGGGTGTGCGCCTCAGCTGTGGGGCACCAGGGAGCAGCGAAGAGGACCAGCCCCAGGCTGGGAGGAGGCGGGCAGGCAGTGTGGGTGCGGGGTCTCCTTAGCCTGAACCCTGCTGCCTACATCCTCTGGTTCCCCCTAGACTTTTTTTTTTTTTTGTCTTTTACGAGACAGGGTTTTGCTGTGCAGTTCAGCTGCCCTTGGGCTCACTTTGTAGCCCAGGCTGGCCTTGAACTCACAGCAATCCTCCTGCCTGCAGAGAGGGAAAATGAGGTGACAGAGGCTCAGGGGTTACCCACGAGGGTGGGAATTCTCACGTGGTCACGGGCAGCCTGGTGTGGGCTGGGCTGTGTGTAGGCAGAGGAGCTCAGCCGCCAGTCTTGCGGGAGCTCCTCCTGTCGGGCTGGCTGGTGAGTGCCGCCTGGCCCTGCTCCTGGCAACTCAGGAGGACTTCTGAGCTGTGCCCAGGAGGGGGCGCCCACGGCTCAGTCCCCTTTCTGTACTCCAGTAGAGAGCCAGGTGAGGACCATGGCAGGAGGGGCCAGTGGCCAGGTTGTGGCACTCAGAGATTCTCAGATCGGTCCTCCATTCTCTGGGACAAGGACCTCCTAGGAGGTGTGATGTGGTCCCATCTCTCCCAGCTTCCAAACGTGACGCTGGTGGTGATGTGAGCTCTTGGGGTTCAAGGTGTCCCCTGGCTTGTGGCCACATCACTCCACCCCATGCATCATCATTCACAGCTTTATTCCTTTTTTTTTTTTTTTGAGACAGGCTTTCACTGTGTAGCCCAGGCTGCCCATGAACTTCCAGCGGTCCTCCTGTCTCAGCGTCCTGTGTGCTGGGATGCTGTCCCGCCCAGCTAGCTTTATTCCTTTTTGTGTCCACTTCTGCCTGATCTTGTAAGGACGGTCACTGGATTTAGGATGTGCCCTGCCCCAGTCTGACCTCATCTTACCTGGACCGAATCTGCAAAGCACTGTTCTTTTCTTTTTGTCTGTGTGGCTGGGGATCTGACCCAGGGCCCCAAGTGCTCCCCAGAGCTACATCCCAGCCCCACCTATTTTTATTAAGGTCGCATGCACAAGCCCAGGTATTAGGGCTTAAATGTAGTTTGGGGCACAATGATTCACCCTGTAGCAGCGTCTCGCCAGCCCCAGCGCGGCTCAGTGTGGTGCGAGGGGCTCATCCCAGCCACCGGCCGCCTCCTGCGCCTCTCCGAGGCCGTGCACCCGCCCGGGGCAGCTCACCCCCAGCCTGCCTGCAGCTGCCACAGGCTATTCTGACATCACTTCCTGGTGGGACAGCATCCTGAAGAGGAAGTGCTGCTGTCCCTGGGCAGTCAGAGTGGCAGAAAACTTGTCCCTTTCCCTGGTCCCATCACACCGTTGGGGACAAGGTGGGCATACCTTGCCGGCAGGACAGCTGAGTCCAAGGTTATAGACACTGCCCACCCTCCCCTGGCACTGCTGTCCCAACCTGGCGTGAGGTCAGAACCTCCCACAGCACCACACCCTGGCATTGTGGCAGCTGAGGCTCCTGGGAACCACACCCCACTTTCGCTGCTGACCTGGCACCCCTACCCCTCCCAGGTCTGCACTGGGAACCTCCTGGTCATCCTGAGCCGCCACTACCAGGATGTCTCCTGCCTCAAGTTCACGGGCGACAGCAGCCACTTCATCTCAGGGAGCAAGGACTGCCTGGTGCTGGCCTGGAGCCTCTGCAGGTGGCGCCCACCTCGGGTTCCCTCGGGAGTGCTGGCGCAGGGGGCAGGAGGGTGGTGACCACCCTCCTGCCCCCACAGTGTGCTGCAGGTGGACCCCTCCAGGATCCCGGCCCCCCGGCATGTGTGGTCCCACCACACGCTCCCTGTCACTGACGTGCACTGTGGCTTCGGGGGTCCTCTGGCCCGGGTGGCCACGTCCTCACTGGACCAGACAGTGAAGGTACACCCCCTCCGGGGGCCAGCTGAGGTCAGCAGGGCCCAGACACCTATAATCCCCAGGCTGCCAGCCTGAGGACGCACAGGAGGCGGCAGCCCAGGCCTCTGTCGCCTGGAAATTCCCACTCAGCCAGCCACGCTGGGCTCGGCCAGGCCCGCAGGGCTGTGACAGCCACACACTACCTCAGCCTGCAGCTCCCGGAGGACACCGGGGTGGTGTGGGGGGTGCGCCAGCCTTGGACTCCTGACCTCCCCTCCCCACCCCCCCAGCTGTGGGAGATCTCCTCGGGCGAGCTGCTGCTGTCCGTCCTGTTTGACGTGGCTGTCATGGCTGTGACCATGGACCTGGCCGAACACCACATGTTCTGTGGGGGCAGCGACGGCTCCATCTTCCAGGTCAACCTCTGTGCCCGGGTGAGTAGCCGGGGCAGCTGAGGAGGCCGAGGTGCCACCAGTCCGCACCACCTGCCCCGCGCTCACGCCTGTCTCGGCCTCCACAGCCTGCGCAGAGGGAGCAGAGCTTCCAGCCCGAGCAGGAGCCCGGCAAGGTCTTCAGAGGCCACAGGTGGGCGCCTGGGCAGGGTCTGTGCCCCCCTCCGGCCGGCTGGCCAGGGCCCTGACGCTGTGTCCGCCCGTCCCAGGAACCAGGTGACCTGCCTGTCGGTGTCCACGGACGGCAGCGTGCTGCTGTCCGGCTCCCACGACGAGACCGTGCGCCTGTGGGACGTGCAGAGCAAGCAGTGCGTCCGGACGGTCACCCTCAAAGGTGGGTGCGACCCCGGGTCCTCCCGGCGTGCAGGGCGCCGCGGGCCGGCAGGGAGGGCTGACGGCTGCGCCCCGCAGGCCCCGTGACGAACGCAGCCATCGTGCTGGCGCCAGTCAGCATGCTGAGCTCCGACGCCAGGCCCAGCCTGCCGCTGCCCCGCTTCAACAAGCACCTGTTGGGGGCCGAGCACGGGGACGAGCCCCGCCGCGGGGGCCTCACGCTGCGCCTGGGCCTCCACCAGCAGGTATGCCCCGCGCCCTCCCGCCCCTCCGCCACTGCTTCCCGTCACCGCCTGCCTCCCTGGCCGGCGCTCTGGGACACTCAGGGCTTCTCCCCACATGGCTTTCTCTCCTGGGACGCAAATTAATTTTTTATTCAAACAGCATGGGCTGCGCAGGCTCCGTGCCAGGGGCCAGCCCGCTACCCCGTCCTGCCAGCTTGCGGTTGCGGCCCCTCACTGTCTCCCCAGAAGAGGAGGGTGTGGGCCCGAGCACAGCTGATGGCCCTGGAAGCAGACAGCTGCTTGGTGCTCAGGTCAGGACAGCAGCCCGGGCCTCCTGCAGCGGACACGAGCTGTCCCGGAGCATGTGCCTGGCCGTGACCTCCTTGTCCACGCTCCAGATGGCAGCACAGCCCCGGGTGGCTCTGCCCCGTGTCCACAGCGGGCTCCTGCCCTGGATCCTGCACCCTTCCCCAGCTGCCCTTGGGCACCTGCCACCAGGCTGTGCTCCGTCACCACCATGGGACCGGAGGACCCCTGGGGCGCCAACACGCATGTGCCCCGCAGACAGACACCTCCGGAGGCCAGGCCCTTCAAGGCCTGGTGTGGGTCCCACTGCAAAGCGTGTCCTGGGCTGCAGGGATGGACATCTCGCTTCCTGCTGAATGGGGTCCTCTGCCCACCCGTCTCCTGGGCCTCGGTCTCCCCAGCTGTAGGTGGCGTGGCAGGGCCCCACCCTGGCACGACACAGGCCCAAGGTCCCCATCCCTGTCTTCCAGGGCTCAGAGCCCAGCTACCTGGGGCGGCTGGAGCAGATGCAGGCCGTGATGTGCAGCACCCTCGAGAAGGTGGGTGACTGGGGCAACCCGGAGGGCCCCAGCCACGGCTGGGGTGGAGGTGCGTGGCCCTCACCCCATGATCCCCACCCACCCCAGGGTGGCCAGGACCAGCTGCGGGTGCGCGTGAGCGAGCTGGAGGACGAGGTGCGCAACCTGCGCAAGATCAACCGAGACCTCTTCGACTTCTCCACGCACATAATCACCAGGCCGGGGAAGTGAGGCTCGGCCCCGCCCCCGGGTCACGGCCTCCCCAGGGCGGAGTCTGGTCTGGAGCAGGCCTGAGCGAGCCTGCGAGCCTCTCCAGCTGGTGGGCTGCAGGACTTCCCAGGTTTGCCAGTTAGGTTTGCCAGTTTTGTGTTTGTAGACTACGGCTTATGTCTGGGCTGTTGTGGCCCAGTGGTGTGTGTTCATCTGTCCACTCGGTGCTCTTCTGTTTTTTAACAAAAGATGATCTGGAAAGGCTGCCTCATTCCTGCAGGTTCGGGGGGACCCCATCCAAAGTCACCCCACAGGGCAGGTGCTGAGCGTGTGGCCTGGGGCCCTGGGACCCGCACTGGAGGGAGGAGGGACAGCGGGTGTCCTGAGGCACTGTCTGAGGGTCCTGGCCCGGTGCAGGCAGCGAGGGGGCTGGCAGTGGTGAGGGGGATGCTGTCAGATCTGGGGACACCGGGGAGTCAGCCGTGGGGGCCCTGACCCTCCTGCGGGAGCCAGGCCACTGTGCACCTGAGTGCCCAGGTCCCCGCACTGATCTCCGGGGAAGTGTGGGGTCACCCAGAGGGCACCGGGGGCAGGAGTGACAGCCAAGGCCCTGTCCTCTCCCAGAGGGTCCCGCCCAACCTGGACGCTGGGGTGTCCCCCAGGCCAAGTCCCTGTGAGGGGTGGACGTACCCTCCAGCCGCCTGGCCTGGGCGCACCTCTTGGCATCAGAGGCCTAAGGGAGACTGGGTCCCCACTGTCCTGGGGACGCCGCCAGCCAGAACTGGACTGCAGGCCAGACACCCTCAGAACCTTCCGGAACACCTCCTTGGCTGCCAGCCCGGGTTAATGGCCCGGGAGCGCCGAGTGACTTAGTGGTGCTGTCATCCGTGCGGCGGGAGCAGAGCCAGCGCTGAGTTCATACTTTCGGGCAGTGGCGCTTCCATCTCGGCCTGTCCCCTCTCTGGGCTGTGTGCACCCCGCGGCCCCCACGGCCCCCGAGCCTGGCGCAGAGTGAGGGTCCTGGTGGGGTTCTCGTCGAGCCCCTGGTACATGAGTGCCCAAGGTGGAGGCCTCAGGTGTCTCCCAAAGCACTGCCTCAGTTTCCCTGCCTGTGGGGTGAGCTCAGTTCCCATCCCAAAGCTGCAGAAAACAGGTGTCAGGCGGGGTCCCTCAGCTCCCCCAGGCACTGGCCCGGAGCCTGCGGGTTCTTTGGGAGGGAGGCAGCAGCAACCCCCCAGGGCCCAGGTCCCTCCCTGCCCCTCAGGGGCTCCCACAACCAGAGGCACCAGCCAGCAGTCAGGCTGAAGTCCCTCTCCGCACGTCCTGTCCTACTCCTGCCCTGGTGGCAGCAGGCAGCCAGCCAGCCCAGGAGGACACCAGACAGCAGGAGCACGCGGGGACATGGGCATCGGCATGCAGACAGCTCCACCGGACCACGCTGCCCGCCGCGGTCACAGCTCGGAGAGGCCGGGAGAGGAGGGCTCCGAGCAGCGGGAGGCTGGCTGAGCCCCTCATCCGCAGCCAGGCTGGGGCAGGGCTCCGGGACTCAGGGTCCTTAGAACGGCAGGGGTGGCCCTTGGCCTGCAGGGGATTTGGGGGTTTGTCCAGGTCCTTGGCCACACCCTCTCCCCGCCTCAGCCTCCATCCTGGTCTTCATGAGACCAGGACCCTCCTTGCCCAGAGCAATGAGAAATGACAGCTGTTCAAAGCTGGGCTGAGGCCAGGGCTGGTCCTATGAACTACATAGGAAGATCCTGTCTCAGAAAGGAAAAAGAAATGACCGTTTCTGGATTTACCCTACCTCGTAGTTATAGGATGAAAACCAAGGGACAGTGAGTTTGTCTCTGAGCCCCTGGCAAGGCTGACAACGTCCAGGACGGCCAGTATCCCCAGGACACCAGTCCTTATGGCTGTCATCTAAAAAGTGGAAAATTACAAGTGCTGCCAAGGATGTGGAGAGATCAGAATCCTCAGATACTGCTGAGGGAACTTGAAGTGGGGTCACCAGTGCAGAAAAGGCTCCTGTGGCTCCCCAAACTGAACACAGCTGGACCTGGGGGCTCATACCTGTCATCCCAGTGCACTGGGAGGCTGAGGCAGGAAGATTGCAATTTGGGTACTGCCTGGGCAACTTGGCCATTTAGCAAGAACCTGTCTCAAAAAATGTAATTTTTTTAAAAAAAGTCTGGGTCCTGGTTTTGGTTAAACCTGAGCACCACAAATAAAGGCAAAGTCTGTTCCGTGTGTGTCACCGTAATAAAAAATTTAAAACCTACATGTTCACTCCGTCTTCACGGCAGCCAGCACTGGAAACTGCTGCTATCACCCTTGCGCTAGTGAGGAAACGGGCCCAGAGCATGAAGGGCTGGGGTTCAACATCCCCAGAACCCCCACACAGATGTTTGTTGACTGACTCACTGAGCAGCTGATGGTGTCTTTGACCCCACACCTGTCCCTGTTTCTGAGGACTCCCTGTGGCTAGAGGAGGTGGCCCGTCTGTCCCCTGGATCCAAGCCACCAGCTCACAGGGAAGTCATCCCAAAACCCAGTTCATTCCGCTGCTGGCAGCTGGCATTGTCATTTCGTTAATGGAATGTTTTTTTTCTCCTGGCTCCAAGAGGAGATGGGGCAGATTCACTCCCCAGGGCTGGGTGTCCTTGCCGTCCCCGCTCCCCCTCGCCCGAGGACCGAGGACAAGATTCCTAGCTACCCAGCAGGGAACTGCCTGGCAGGTGCAGGTCCCTTCTCATGCTGCCGGCTGTGTCCCCTGAGCACCTACTACGTGCCAGGACCACCCACGGGTCCTGGTGAATGGACAGACCTGAGGCGGGCAGGAGGACACAGGAAGCTTGGGTTCTGTGAGCCCTTGCACAAGCTGTCAGCGACTGCAGAGTGGCTAGTGCGTGCAAAGAAAATCCTGGAGGTAACACAGGTGAGCGTGGTCACGGGTAGGAAGAAAGAAATGCTTCTCGGAGGCATTTGGCATTGGGTTTTGATGTGTGAAGAGGTGTTCTGTGTTCCAAGTTGCCTGCCCAGGGCTAAAGGGCAGAGCCACCCTATACACTGCTGTCAGATATGCCTGCCTCAGTTTCCCCAGAGTGCACACAGTGTTAAAACACACTCATGGGTTGTGGAAACTGTGCCTTGAAAATGGAGACAAATGTGAGCTCAGGCCTATTTTCTTGTCTGAACAATGGGCAACATTTCCCGGGCTGGCAAACTGGGGAGGTCTGAGATCTTGGGGGTGAGTGTGGGGGCAGATTCTACAGAATACTCCCCCGTAGAATGGGGTCATGAAGCCGGGTATAGTGGTTCACCTTTGTCATACTAGCACCAGGGAAGCTGAGGCAGTAGGATCTCAGGGAGTTGAAGGCCA